GATCTTGGAAAGCCCACGCATCTTGAGAGTAAGTAGTTGTTGCACAGCGGATGAAGTCGTAGAAACACAGTAAATGGCATGATATGGGTATTAATAGGATAGATATTTTCGTATATTTTAATTAAATCGCCTAATTTCAAAGCAGATTATTGTATTGGAATTCGGTATTTGCCAGGATACTTCACGTTGTCCTTTTCTCCATCTCTTTAGACGGTCACAAATTCACTAAAGCATCGTGTATGAGAAACTCGAATACGAGTCCAAATTTTCAGCTACATCTGGCTCTCTAACAGTCATATTTACTGATTCAAGCAGAGCACTTTCCAATGCAACTTCACTTCCTGCTTCAATTCTAGCAGATGCTTATTGTAAAATCATCCCTCGAAGGAGTTTCACAAGTCTGATTAAGCATGGGAATTGGATACTTTCAAAAGTGATGTTGGTAATGACTTGATCCCTATTCTCATCCCAACACCTTCTTCGTCCAATAATTAGCTCTTGATTCCGACGTTCCATTCAGGCCAAATATCGACTTTATTCGTTTTTAAAAATGGCAAAATGTGTATACCTGTCAGCCCATGTTGTTGCCATCGGAAGTGCGTCAAAAGGAAGTGCATTTATTTTAGTTGTGTTTGGCGTGGTTGCGTAGGACAGTTTCCCATGGCTAATAAACATGTAGAGCAGGGCATGCTGCCGTGCATGGCTTACCTGCGAGAGAACTACAAAGTCTACCACAAGGATAACACAAAATGCCCAAACTCTGATAACTAGGGCCTTCCAAATGAGGTTAGGTAGGCCCTGCAGAGATATGGAAAGAATTCGATGTCTACAAATCAAAGTGATAGCGGTCAGGATGGCAGAAAGGTTGTCTATGAAATAGTGAGTGGTCCCAAAATCGCAGCCACTGATGTGCCTGTAAAGTGTTAAGTGGTCAGCGGCATGTGGAGACCCTTTCAATTTAAGGGATGGCTTTGACCTAACGAAGTTGAGGTTTGATTGTCTACACATGACGTGGCAGCCCAAATTTATAAGTTGAATCAAAACGATGGCGGTGTCGATGCTCATGACGAGTTCACCGTCTAATCTCTAAGCAGAGCTGCTCTTGAGGGCTGTGATGACCGAACTGCTTATGGCACGTCCATACGAATTTCCGAAAACAGAGACATGAAAATTGGAACAGGATCATCATTCCTCTGATCACTTGTTGCAACGCGTTCTTATAATTTACTGATATATCAACAAATGCTATCGTAAAATTTTATCCGTGCTTTCCAATAAGGAGAAACATTTGAGCTGCTAAGCTAGTCTTCTGCAAGAAGAAGCAACTGATCGACACTGCGCTGATTGCGTCTGCACTGAACCTAACGACAGGTGTTGCTTTTCTGTTAAAAATTACAAAGCAACGTCTAAATTGCAATAGGCTTGAGGAGTCTACTGAGAGTTAGAGAAGTAGGATTCGTGAGCTGGCCATGTTCGTATCCGTGGAAGTGGGCACCGTGGACTAATTTCATACAGGGTTCACAATGTGAAGAGAAGTGTGCCTGGTCATCATGGGTGATGCCATAATGCGGGAAGCCGTGGGGTTGGTCGTGCTCATGATAGACGACTGAGGTTGAATCACCCGACACCGACGCTGGTGAAGAAGCCTCCCGATTGCATGATGGTAGAGGAGGCAGCTAGAATTGCCGAAGCATCCAAAATGCTCTCCTCTACTCCTTCAGCCCTTAACACGAAATATGTAACACTAGTGATAATTGTATGCATCAATTTCCGAATAAAAGATTATGCACTTGATTCTGCTGTGCTTTCATATTACCAAGCAGCAGTCAAGTGGTACAAGGGCAAAGTGCTGATAAAGTATGAAATCTATGTACTAAATTGCAATAAATGCATCACTTTGGAAATCCGCAATTGCATTATTTGAATGGTGTAGATATGGCATTTGCTAATAGCACTTGCAGGCGAATATGGCGTCTACATGGATAGCACTTAGATCTAATAATATTTGCGTGTGTTTATGTCTTTCCAACTTTAGTCGTTTCTGCGTATTTAATCCACTTGTTCCTTAGCCGCACTTTATGTTGATGTAATTGTGATTAGATTTACTAATAGTAGATGACCCCTTAATATAGGATTGATTAGAGTCACTGGTAAAACTGATGTATATGCTTATCCAATTCCTGAGTCTAATACCTTCATGCATTGCTTGTTGTGGTAGATACACTTTTCGGTGTATTGTCCTACCAATGGTATTTGGCGCATGGCCCCTTAGCTAGTAGTGATTACCCTCAATGATATTACAAGTGGGGACACACCTCCATTCCAGCATGATAAAGCATTTACAACGGAATTGGCTAAAATCAAAGAATTGAGCACATTTACACAATTTGCTTGATTAGTTTGCATGCACAAGCAGGACTATGGGCAATGGTTGTGGCAATGCGGGCACACCCAGGGATTGGGTGCATGCGTTTGCCTTGTGTGCTGAGTTGTGTCGCAATATATACTATGCTCAATAGCTCTAATATTCGGCAGCTCAACCGCCGTCGTGATAAATCAGTGATTTCTTTCAGATTTTGCAAGTATACTAAACTCGTTGATTTTGGCCAATTCTATTGTAAATGCTTTATCGTACCGGAATGTTTTGCAATGCAATCGCTCAATTTTGTGCCATGTATTTTGGGTTGTATAAAAATAGCTCTTTACTGTGAGTGATTTAAGCGTGGCTTTGATAGTATTGGTTCCCTCCCATTTTGTGCTCTTTTGTCACTCTTATTCCACGGGTTCGCTGGTTTGGCGAAGTTAATTGCTAGTCTATGCTTGGCGATGTGTGCACTGGCGGTGTCAGTTGACATTGGTAGGATACATTACATGAAGGCGTATCTATTTGAGCAATCAACCTTATGACATTTGGACTAAAGCAGCCAACGTTTTGCATCAATTTCTTCAACTTACCTTATCCTTGACTCGATGCGCCCAACATTTGAGGCTTCCAATGCTAATGTGTGATAAATACGACGTCAGGAGTTTTGACGATGCGCCAAAACATTACTGCCATGCAGGTAGACTTGTCGGAAAATAGGCCCATGTATTGTGTTTCGCTACTGCAATGCACGAACCACACAACACTGATGGAGGTGCGCTAAGTCCCTTTCGGCATTGATGTCATCTTAAGTTTGGATTGATTACGCCAAAGCTATAAAAAGTGCAAATGCAGAAGCACTCAGCAAATTAGCGAAACCGATTATACATGCATGAGTACAGATTATAAGTAGATCGCAACAGTGATATTCGAGCAATGCAATTTGTTCAACAGTAGCGACTATCTACGGAATCGCAAATCTGCCCGATAGGCACGTAGACCATGGTGAACCGAATGTAAGTGGTTACTACTGCGTTACTATTTCATTATTTTACTTGTTTTCCATTGATATTTTAATCGGCATAGCATTATATATTCAAAGCATTACGTTTTAGCATTTATGCCATTGGAAATATCACCCATGTGTCAATTTAGACGTTTTGAATGGGGCAATGATTCGCCTGGAATGTTTAGTTAGGGTGCATTTGTGATGGAAGCTTGGTCTCTGTGTAGGAATAACATGGCTCATTGAAACCGTCATAGCAAAGGAAATCGGTTTTGCTCCCCACAAATTTGCTTGATCGGTTTACATGCACAATCAGGATTGGGAGGTTCGGACGTTGCACTATGTACACGTATAAGAATTGGGAGCATACGTTTGCTTAATTTCCAGCATTGACGCCACAAGGCAAGATAAATGTAAGTGCTTCCTAGGGCAAATAGTAGTTTGTTAAACAAATCCATGCCAGCAAATGCGATTTCATCTCAAGTCAAATGATGCAGTTGATGTAACAAAAGCAACAGTGAGGTATGTAGAATGAAAATGCGGTGTAGACGTATTGTGCACACCCATGGGCCTGTTTGATGTGTTCAGCAATTTATAGGCTGTGCTGAAATTTTGTGGTAAATGAAGACACGGTGAATACCAACAATACGGAGAGCCACATTGCGCCACCACCACTGTCGACTAGGCCTGGGGCTTCTCTCATTGCGTAACCACCACAGACGGCCATGAACACGGCTTCGCACACTGAACACATCAAACAGGCCCATGGGTGTGCACAATACGTCTATACCGCATTTTTATTCTACATACCTCACTGTTGCTTTTGTTACATCAACTGCATCATTTGACTTGAGATGAAATCGTATTTGCTTGCATGGATTTGTTCAACAAGTGTAAATGCAAATTCACAGTTGAGGCGTTGTCTGGACCGTACGGTAAATATTTTGAAGCCACTCCTCCGATTTGATGCAGTGTGCATATTGTGCGGAGCAAAGTGTGCTCCCGCATTGTCTTGATGCGATGAGCTATAGAAATCGAAGAGGTCAACCCTTTAATACATTATGCAAAGGCAAAGTCGATTAAAGTAAATGCTATATTATTGTTATTTCATATTAAATAATGGTACTCTTCGAATAGGCAGCCTACTATTTTTCTAATGTAAATTTCAGTTAATGGTTAGTAATCTGTCCATAGACAAACTACTATTTGCCTCA